CAAAAGTTAATGGTAGAATAAGTGGGTGATTGTTTTATACCACTTCTGAAAAAAATCTTAAAATGCCTAATTTACTAAAAAACAATTAGTAGTATATGTTAAGTTCTACTGTTTTATACACAAAGGATATATAATAGTACTCTTTTAGATATTCATTTCAGTTAACCTTCAGGGAATGAAAAACTGTAGATTCTTAAAGCACTATGATAAATGTTCATGCCAAACTTGTACAAGCATGTAAGAATTAATTGCCAGCTGTCTACCTGCAAATGCAGAAATTTCTACAAAGATTAGCGTGTGTGTTTTTTTAATGGCATCAAATTCAGCAAAAAATCTCCATGAAAATGTAACACTGTACGTGTCACTCTCTTATTTATTTGCAGGGCTTAATTTTTATATCAGTATATAAGTTAGATAAGGCAAGCCTTAAGAATTATTTGCTCCTTAATGAATTCTTATAATCTAGATATTTCTGTGTATGGTTAAAAAATGCCTTTTAAATATACTCCACTGAAATGGTTATGTAAGTGAGTTTCAGGTTTGTTCCAGATATTTTTTTCTCTTTAAGTGCTTCTATTAAAAAGATTATAGTAGTTATTTGGAAAATGGTGCAAAGGTACATTTTGTCATGATGTTTCTTGCCCAACCAGTTTATTGCATATGGCTTCACACTTGTCAGATCTTCTTTGTTTTTTCTTCATTGACCAGCTCACCTATGGTGGATAGTGTCCCTTAGTTCTGTGCCATTGCTCACAGGGACTTTTCTCTTGTTTCCCTGCAGCTCCTTTTCAGGATGTTTTTGTTAAAGGATCTTTTATTTCTACCCACACTTGAAATGTTTCCTGGCATTGCTCAAATATGTGATGATTTTATGTTCCTTCCTTATTGAAACCTGGCTGTGTCTCGTATGCTGCAAGGGTGACCAACTCAGCTGCCTATATAAACAATTAACATAAATTAATGCAGATCTGGGTGGTTGGGTTTTTTGTTTGTTTGATTGGTTGGTTTTTTTGTTTGTTTGTTTGTTTGTTTATAGCATCAAAAGTATATGGGTATTTTTTAAAATTATGCCAGGCCAGCATGGTTCAGTGGCTGCTTTCAAACTATGAACCAGGAAGTCATGGTTCAATTCCTGGTCAGGGCACAAGCCTGAATTGTGGGCTCGATCCACAGTGTGGGGCATGCAAGAGGCAGAGGCAGCTGATCAGTGATTCTCTCTCATCATTGATGTTTCTATCTCTTCCTCCTTTTCCCTTCCTGTCTCAAATCAATAATACATATTTAAAGCAATAAAAATGAGAAAAAGCACGTCCTATCTAATGGTATTTCCCCTTGGTCCCAGCCTGAGTTGGTATGGAGGAACGGAGGCTCAGTTGTCATTCTTTCATTATCCAAACACTGACACACTATTTACTGTGTGCCAGGCAGGTAGGTGCTAGGGATAAGAAGTAAATTAAACAAAGATAGCTCCTCTCCTGGAACTGACACCAATTCTGGATATTTGTGCCCTCATGGTCACCCTAGGGTTAATGATATTTACTATTACCAGATTTTCAAATTTAACAAAGATACAGATTTTTTTTTTTAGTGAAATTCTGTTTTTTAAAATGTTAACTTTTTTTTTAAAGCAACACTCCCTGTTGAAATTGTGTTTACCTGTCAGCAACAATAGCCTACGAAATAATATTTGAATATCTGACTTTGAAATACCTCCACAACTACACATATTTTTCCAGCTTGATCTCCATCTACTTCTTTGTTTTCCATCTATTCACAACTGATTGCGCCTGAACCCTTCTTTCTTCTATTACATCTTATGTATTGAACTTCTTGCTGGAATGCACTTCCGAATCCCCCCACCCCCCCCCTTTCTACCCCTAGTCAATCAGTACTCATTGATAGCCCAAATGTTTCTTTGTAAGCTGACCCTAATCTCACTGTATAGAATTACTCATTCTCTGCCAGTATTCCACAGTATTTCCTACATTCTCTCATTAGAGAGCTACCAAAATGTTTTATGGACCCTGAGCCCAAAGAAGCTATGATTTCATCTTTGTACCCTGAGAATCTAGCATAGCGCTTTATACCCGATCAGTGCTTCCTAAATCCTCATAGAATGATTGGCTGGGCCTGACATCTGGCTCTCTGCAAACCAGCAGTGGTGGTAACCTGCATCAGATAGGCACACAATTAACAGATACTCTATCAGTTAGAAGCTTTGCTTCACAAGTAAACAATCTTGATATAAAAATTATTTTTTGATTTAAAGTGGTAGTTATCAACTTCTGTACCAGATATAGTTGAAATAATTACTTAGGTCTTTGTACCCAACTCTTCTTACCCCTGACCCCACCCTCCCTGGCCCCATCATCACACACATACACTATAATTCCTGGAATGGCTATATTGGCTGCTAGAGCATGTGTAATTTATAATCCCAGACTTGTCACATGGCATAGCAGAAATAACCTCTTCCCTTTGTACTCTAGTTTTTTTTTTTATTTATTGCTTTCAAACTATCAAGGTATATTAAAAAGTAGGTGTCGGGTAAGAGGCAGCAATGCAGGATAGAGATGAGGAGCAAACTTTATTGAGAGGCAGCTGAGGAGTGGCAACAATGTTTGAGGCACTGCACGTGTATTGTCTCTTTCCTTTGTAAAAAAAAATTTCAGTAAGTTAGGTAGCATTATTTTTAATTTAAGGATGAAGAAAATGACACTGAAACAGGTGACATTATATACCATAAGAGAATTCTGAATACTTATTTCAGACAAGATGTATAAGTATTATTAATTCACTAGAGGCCTGATACATGGATTTGTACACCTGTAGGGTCTGTCAGCCTGGCCTGTGCCCTTTCACAATCTAGGGCCCATCAGGGGATGTCAGACTGCCAGTTTCAGCCTGATCCCTGCAGGCCAGGAGAAGGGATCCCACTAGTGCACAAATTTGCACACCGGGCCACTAGTATGCAAATAAGACCTTTGGTTAATCTCTTCCCGTCTTCCCCCCTCCCCTCTTCGCTCTGAGATTCATCAGTCTGTCCCATGTTTCCATGCCTGTGCATTGAGCACCCTTGTGGTCAGTGTGCAATCATAGTTACCGATCAAACGGTTGCTTAGGCTTATATATATATAGATTATAAACAATGTCCAACAGTTTTCTTCTTCTGTAAATTCAATACTGCACAAAATATATTATTTTTACTTGTATAGTAGCTACTGAATTTAGTCTTCTTAAACAAATTACCAATAGGTTTTCAACCATGTCAGACTTCCCTTTTAACAGAAGTTTTGTAATGTCCTGTTTAGTATTCTGAAGTGCAATTCATATAAGCAATTACCTATTTATCCTTTGTTGGGCCACTTACAGCAAGCAACCAATAAATGTTTCTCTTTATATCAATGTTTCTCTCATTCTCTCTCCCTTTCTCTCTCTAAAATCAATTTAAAAAGTCCTCAGTGGAGAAAATATTGATCCACATCTACCTATATATCTATATCTGTACTATATAAATATGGATATAGATGTAGATACATACAAATATGGATAAGTCTAATTGTATTAATTGTGATGCAAATAGTTATATGCAATGTACCCATTACTGACATGTTTTTCCAAAATAGTAAGTAACTATTGGTAAAGTTCCAAAGTATTGAAACTTTCTTCTACTTATTTGATAGTTGAATTTCTGGAGACTTGGCTTAAACTAAAACTGGAAAACATATTTATGTTTATATGTAAGATAATATTAGATTCTATACTCAGATGAACAACAGCAGTAATGTCATCTAAGAAATATTCAGTGAACTCCTTGAAAAGCATGAAGGTAGTGGGGCAAATACTGATTTTCAGGACTTTTCGTGGTGAACATCCATGAACCTTGCCCACTACAATTATTGAAACAACCTAAAATGCCTTTAAAAAGTTCTGAAACATTCACTAAAAGGGCAATGCTGCTTTCAATGATTACTGCTGCTCCAAACCTTCCAAACCAAATACTCTATCATGTGTTTTATTAAAAAATTGACCATATCTTATGTTTAAGACTCTGTGTGTAATGCATTGTAAAATAAAAATATGTCAGTACTGATTCCTTTTTTTCCAAGGATTTAACAGTATAAGAAAGAAGATGGATTACTTGCATATATGTATATACATATATTGAAAATATTTTATATCAAAAATATAAAGATGACGGTAAGCTGAGAACGCCCAGAAAGGTTTCACAAAGATAGTACAGTACAAAGTGAGGTTTGAAAGATGTTTATGTAACAGCGATTTTCAACTGCTGTGCCACAATAATTTTAGAATATACACTACCTGACTATTTAGTAATAGACACTGACCTCTTTTCTCTTAGACTGTCAAATAAAAAAAATGACAACAACCAACACGACGATAGCATTCTAGTGGGAATGAATCAAGATTATACCTTTTGTTTTTGTCATATTGGAAAAATACATATTTCTGGTGTGCTACAGAATTTTAGTAATCAGTTTGTGTATGCCATGAGATGAAAAGGGTTGAACAATGCTGGTCTATAATAAAGGTCCCATCACATTGCATCACAGATGAGTAAAGGGAGCCAAGGAGCCTAACTAGCATGAATGAGTTACTGTCAGAAAGTAATGGGCAGTAACAGCAGGAATTAAGATTGGAATAAGGCTGTCAGGTCCAAATGGAAATTAAATTGAATAATTCATGAATTGAATGTCAGAGATGGTTTCTTCATACAAAATATTTAAGGTTTGAGATGGTTATTTAGTGAATTTGGAGTTCACTAATAATAAAATGAGAGGGCTTAGAATAAGGGACTCATATTTCTTTAATTTGGCATGCATTTTTAGTGTCTCCTTTCTTTGGAATATTTGATTCTTTTACCCAGTTAAATCTGGGATGAACTCATACCTGGGGCCTGTAGGTTTACTGCTCCTCGGACATGAATTGCCATATTGACAGATCATGATATTGTGTCTTTTCCGTCATTCTCTTTGCAGGTATGATTTTGTAGAAGTTGAGGACCCCAGTGACGGAACTATATTAGGGCGCTGGTGTGGTTCTGGGACTGTGCCAGGAAAACAGAATTCTAAAGGAAATCAAATCAGGATACGATTTGTATCTGATGAATATTTTCCTTCTGAACCGGGGTTCTGCATCCACTACAACATTGTCATGCCCGTAAGTACGAATCAGAGATCTGCTTATTTAATTAGCTCAGTTACTTGTTTGCTTTCTTTTTTCTTTTAAACTGGAGAACACAAAAACTTTTCTCTGGCTTAATTTTTATTTTAATAAATGTCACTCTAGTTATCACAACTTGAATTTCATCACAGTAAATCATCAGCCACGTTAAATACTTTTTTCAATAAATGAAGCAAAATGTGTTTTGTACAACATTTAGACAATTGTGACAAACCCATTACACTTAATTCACTGTCTGGTATTTCAGTGTTGATGAGAAATTAGTAGGATCAGTAGAATTTTCTCTTGAACAAAATAAGAAATTTAGTGTATTTATTATCCTTATCACTTAAGGATCAACATCACATTTTGGATTATAGAAATTCTTCCTGAATTAATTTTAAATATGGTCATCCTATCTAATAAAAGAGTAATATGCAAATTGACCATCACTCTAACACACAAGATGGCTGCCCCATTTGAACATAAGATGGCCACCACAAGATGGCCAAGAGGGGAGGGTAGTTGGGAGGGACCATGCCTGCAAGGGAGTGCAGTTGTGGGCAATCAGGCCAGCAGGGGAGGGCAATTCCCCACTTGGTACTGACCTATTACCAGAGATTTGCTGTGCCTAACACCGGGAATAGCCTGCATTCGAGAGACTTTAGATGAAACATGTAGCACTGATTATGTCATTAAAATTCAATTCAATGCATATGCAAATAGTTATTAAAATAGCTTGATAAATTGTATATATGGAATTTGGTGGGATGAGAATTGACATTCTCTTGGTATCTATGGAAACATGTTTGGCATGGCAACTAAGTTGACTTGTGATGGGCTGCAGGAAATGGAGTTTTTTGGAGAAATAGCATAGGGGATCTTATATAAATGTGCCTTATGCCTAGGAAAACAAGAGAACATGATGGTAGGGTCCTACATTGCCTAATAAGTGTGACTTGGTGACTTTAATTTTCCATATTTTTTTCTGGAGTGATTATTGACATATGAATTTTACAATTTTATAAGCTTTCATTCTTTTGGGTTTAAACTGACTTTGACAATTTATTGGCCATTTCCTCGCCTATTCTTTGTATTGGTTCCATATATCCATCCATCATCCCACACAGTTGCAGTCATTCTACAGACAATAACTGCCCACAGAAAGAGCAAGATTTGATGAGCAAAATTTTGGAAAGTAACTTTGCTATTAAGCCTTGCAGAGTGTTTTGAGTTATTATTGTGGATTGGTAAATGATGCTCCTTCCTCTACCCACTCCCCACAATAGTATTACTAGCTGGGCAGCAATCCATCAGTCTTATCTGTGTAGCAATGAATGAAAGCCTAAGGGAAGAAAGTTTGCCTTTGGAGAAGAGACTTAAAAGTTCTTGTGTCATTTGCTCAGGGGCAAGTTCCCCTTCAAGCCCCCTCCCTCCACCCATCATCTCGGATTCTTTTTTTTTTTTTTTTTATGTGCCAAGGATGAACTTCAAACTTAGCACACCAGAGGCAATGGTCTCAATGCAAATCCACTACTGGGACCTTCAGAGCCAATGGCCAACAATGCTCTCTTACCCTGCTAATGATAAAACTGATATGATATTAACTGCACATCCTTATTGGACTATTAACTTCCTGCTTTTAGTCTTGTTATTAAATGCTTAGTACAATGCCAGACACATTGCAGCTGCTCATTCATGTCTCATGGACATTCAGCTGTTTTCCTTAGAGCTGTCTAAACTCAAGAGGGGCTGCACTCACTTCACATTCATTCTTACCTTTGTAGCTGTTGCACAGTAGTGATGATGCATAAACTAGAAAACTGAAGAACCACATGTTCTCCAGGTCCTGATATATTAGGCTCTATTACCAAGAACACAATCTTGCCCTACTTAAAGAACTGAATTATTTTTGTTTTATTTTGTTTTGATGAGGAGTGAAACATCTAGATATTAGGCTACTTAAAAAAAATTAATGCATACTTAGGACATTATAACTATTAATGTGTATAGTCATCTTTACCTGCAGTTATAATTAATTTAATACATATTTTGTGCCTATTTTTATACACATAAATATGTTCGTGTTCTGTTACCTTTTTTTTCTGGGATAATTATGGAGAAAGTTGATTTTACTATTTCTTATATTTTACAAGGAAAGAAGATAGCTCTGCAGCTTTCTTTGGAATCATAAATGGATATTTGATACTAGTCAATCTTTAAGGCTCGGTGGTTCTAATTACCGTACATTAGTTAAAATTCTCAGAAACAGTTATTGCCACACATGTTGCCATTAAAAATTATGTTTACCTTCATAAAAATGATTTACCCTTTTCCCCTCAACTAATGAATGAGAGAAAGCATGTAGTTAAATATAGGATTATTTAGTATTTTGAAAAAAGTGATGCAAACTTAATATTGGAAGATTGTTTATATATTTCACACATAATATACTTTCCTCTGTAATGATATTATTTCAGTATCAGTTCCTTGATTCCCATATACCTTAGAATAAGATATAAAAATTGTATCCTTCAATTTTACTATTTTAGGTTGATATTACAGGCTTAGTTTTATTTTAGAAAAATCTTTAGCATATAGTGTTTATGTGAAATTATAGCTAGTTTTTGGTAGCTTAAAAATAGCTCCAGAATTACTACATAAATTTAAAATTTTAACATTTTAGTCTATTTTCAATAATTATTTATAGAAATACATATATATATATTCCACAGTCGTGCCCCATTAATACATAATGAAAAATAAATCCATGTAAGTTGATGTCAAGTGATAAATATTCAGCTTTTATGATTGTGCATAAGGAGTTAATAATGTCTTTGATTTTTTTTTTTCTTCTTCATGCTAAAAGAGAAAAAAGAAAGGCCTGGTAGATTAGCAGTGAGAGATTGTTTGGGAAGAAATGAAGCAAAACTGAAATAAAACAGTGCAAGCTTGTTTCTGTTGGAGGCCACACACATTGAGAGCCCAGCAGATCTCTTAGAAAGAAAAGAAAATTTCTTGTTTAATTTTGGAGTAATTTATAATAGATTGTGTATGTTTTACTCTGTGTACTGTAGCATAAGCACCATTATTTAAGAATGTTAAGAAACCTGCAAAGGCTGAAAAAATAATATTTTTTCTTCTAGTATCAAAACACCTTATTAAAAGTCTTATTTAAAAAAAACTCTCAGCCTTAAGATAAAAAATATCGCATATTTTTTGTCAGACCAATACTTCAAAAACAATGCCTATTTTTTAAACAAAATGTACATATATAATTCTGGATATTTTAGTAGTTTTATTATTTGTATATAGAACTATTCTTCTTGAGTACAATATTACTTGTAATAATACATCTTTTTAAATGGTTATATGATTTGAAGATTTTCTCTTTCTCTCTCCAATCTGGTTAACATTTTGAAGGATGATGATTAAACTACCACTAATTTCTTTTTAAATGGGTTATTTAATATTATCCTTTTAAAGAGTTTTAATCAGAAGTAATAACATAATATTTTTAACAATTTACTTATTATTACTTTCCATTTAGTGAATGGATCAGTTAAGATTAAGGACAACAGATGTTATAGCTACCATACCAACTGATCCCATCTATTTCTATCTTTTCTTTATTGCCTGAAAAGGGGAGTGTAAGGTGATGAATGAACTGAAGACTAATTCACACCAATCCAGTGAAACTCATCTTCTTTTAAATTGCTGCCAAATTTGTTCCATTATTTTTATAATTTTCTTTTTAATATGTATAAACAGTGACACATTGGGTATTGCATAATTTTAATTATTGTTAGTAAAAGTGTTTATATATTTAACCTATAAGGAGATGAAATGATACTAGAGGATATTAAGTATGGTAGCTACTCTATAACCCCAAATATACATTTTCCTTGATAGTGATTTTGTAAGTGACATGGCCAGAGTGAAGGCAGTGCCCAGGCAGTGCGCACTGCGTAGGAGTGTATGGTTTCTGTGGGTGAGGCTTACAAGGACACTTGATGCCTGAGGTGCCATTAAGGAATGCATGACTGATTGCCAAAGTAGTTATTAATTATGCAGGATACAGAGAACAAAGCAGCTCAGTGAATATAGAAGTTGGGGGAAGAAAAGAGGAGGGAGGATATTTTTTTCCATCCCTTCGAGTGTTTGCCAGGTCATTTTACTGCTAATATCATGTAAAGAAAAGTCTTCACTGAAGGCCAAGTTTGCTTTTATGTTCAAGTTAAAAAAAATTCCAACTAATGCTAACACAAGGCATCAAATTTATTAGTTTACTTTCTTAGGGGAAGAAAAAAAGTGGCATGTCTGCAGTAAAAATACCAAGAGCAATACTAAAACACTAATCCAATGGGGGGAGAGGGGAAAACAGTGTCAAAATGTCCTCAAGATGTTTAAAAATTATAAATTTTCATAACCAATTGCACAGCATTGCTCTATTACGACACTAAACTGATTTTAGCAAGTGACAATTTAGGTCTAAACCTTTAAAAATAAATTTTTATTTATCTTGAAAAAAATTAAGAGAAAAATTGGTTCTTGGGATTTTTTTGTAGTGTTGTAGGATGGAAAAATATTTCAAGTACTGTATGTCTATAGTCTGAAATACTTCAAATTACTAGATTTTTATTTAAACACACAATGTACTTATATATTTATTCTGGAAGTCTTGAGGTGACATTATTTTATTACATCAAAGAAATTATATAATTGCTGCAGAAACTAAACTCTTAGTGGGGAAGAGATGTTTAATCTATTTTCCACCTGACTTCTAACCCATGGACATATTGCTCTCTTTCATGTCAAGCCCATCGTCTCTCTTCCATTTCTCAGGAATCTTTTTGTTTCAGTTAATCCCTAGCTTTCTAAAAAAGAATTTCAGATGCCATGATTTGCTGTTAGAAATAAAAAGACAGTTGGTATTATCGCTGGAATGGTAAAAGGCAGTCAGACCACTTTAAGTTGATATACACAGAGGTTGTAAA